GGACTAGTCTTCATATCCTCGATCTGCTGTCGCATCCTTTCGGTGTCGTCTTTGAATTGATTGATAAGTCTCTCGTTTTCTGCAATCTGTTCGCTCTCTCGGGTTAGCCATCGGATCAAATAGTCCTTAACCACAGCGAGTGTCGCGCATTCACTGCGCGACAAAATCTCAATAATCATAATGGGCTGAAGTAATCGCTTCCTTTCAATCAATTCAAAGACGACACCGAAAGGATGCGACAACAGATCGAGGATATGAAGACTAGTCCTAAAGTATTTCAGGCGACCAAGTGTTCGGCCTGTAAGCACCCCCTGGAACTGCCGTCCGTCCACTTCATGTGCTCCCATTCCTATCATCAGCACTGCTTCGAGAGCTATGCGGCTGAGAATGATTCCGATTGTCCGCTCTGTTTGCCTGAAAATAGGTTTGATTTGACATTTAATTTCTGTGTTTTTGATTTGTGTTGTAATTGAAGTCATTTTTGTCGTCAATGTGTAGAAAAATCTTAAATCAAATCCAATCGCTTGAGAACATTAAGAATGTGAACGAAATGTTTGACAAACAAATTCAAGAAACGGACGATTGTTTTAGCGTAATATCCGATTACTTCAGTCAAGGATTATTCAATAGAGTGACTCTCGTTACGGACGATGGGATAGTACAGTCCGGTTCATCCCATGCCAGACCCAAGTCATTGAATCTGTTTACTACTAAATGAATGTTTCTATTATTAAATTATATAAAATATTTGGCTTTTGTAAAGAGATCAATGTTTGTAAATTATAATAAATTTAAGTCTAAGTTATAATTGAAATTTTAAATAATATGCAATTATTAGAAATGTTTTGGTATTTGGATCCATTCTTCGGCTGTGAATCGCATTTTCATAGACTTAGTGTTTATCCGGATCTTCACATTTAAGACCAGTTTTTATCACATCAGAGATAACACACCTCTTGTGATAATACATTTGTGGAACAATTATCTGACCGAAGAGGATGAAGACATTGAATTCATTTTTCAACAAAATTCTTAATTTAATTCATTTTTATTCAATTCTTTGTTTAAGTTTTGATATACACTGTAAATACTGAGTTTTTATAAAAAAAAAAGTTTTATTTTACTTGAATTTTAACAAAATTTGTTTAATAAAATAAATTGAAGACTCATTTACAGTAATTGTGGGAAACTTTTTGAGTGGCAAATCTTTGGTGCGATTGTAAACAATGATTGCATTGTAAATAAAATAAGGTTTTGAGAATTTAAAATATATTTACTTAAAAGTGATTTGTTTTGAAATTGATATTTATTTAATTAAAGCATAAAATAAATAATGGTCATTTTAACTTTTCATATCATAAGTTATGATTTATAACAGTGTATACTGTAGATTTATACTGTATAATGTAACGTAACTAGTGTGACCAGATATTTGTTCAATATTTTGTTTAAAACTGGACAATTGTATGAAAAGAGACAATATTAGAATTAATCCAAGTTTTAAAACTGGACAATACTATCCATTACATTGTAATAGATGAATTACAAAACTGGACACTATGTACAAAAACTGGACAATCCAGCCCAAAGCTGGACGTCTGGTCACACTAAACGTAACATTTAAGTGCATATATACACAACATATTTCACAATTTTAAAAGATTAACTACAAGAGTGTGAATTCATAGTTATGTGCCAACAGATAATATCTATATTTTGATAATCGATGTAATTTAGTGATGGTTTACTACTTTTAATGTACTGTAATGTAGTTTAAACCTATTGTATTGCACAGTTCAGCAAATATTTTAGGTTCAAATTCAGCATATATCAAATATATCATATCAAATATTTGATATCATTGAATATAACTTTGTCAGATTTTGTTTAAGGACCAGAATTTTGCAGAGTTTTACAAATTATAGGATACACTGTTTTACAGTGTAAAGCTTACAGTGCCTTACTGTATGTCTATGACTAGTAATTAATGTAACATATTTTTGCTTAAAAGTTTGATATTTGACAGAATTTTATAGTTTTCTAATAAATCTCACAAAAATTCGATTATTGGTATATTATGTTTACAAAATTATCAGCAATAAAGTGCTAAAATTAAATAAATTATATTTGTTTGAAATTTAAAAAATTTATAAAGAATTTAATCAAATATCAAATTACTTAAAACTAAAAGATAACAATATTGAATTCATTTTACACTCTATTCCAAACTTCACACTGAATTTCCTTTCAATTTGATTTCCACTGATTTCTGTATAATTTGATAACCAATTCTAGATATACGGTCATTTCAAAATTGTAATTAAATTTAT